TGACAAATCATTGTATAGAATCATGCCTTTTAGACGTCTATTAGGCGGACAGAATCATGTTCAGATTAATGCATTGTTGAAATCGAGCACTGCCCTTGTCGCTATGCAATGACAGTAGGATATCTTTGAACACAGAGGTGACAATGGAAGAGGGCTTTGGGAGACCGCTTCAGCAGTATCCGGCATATTGGACACCCTGCGTTGTGCATGTAGGCACGTATGCAGGTGGTGAGTGATGCAGGTAGGTAGTAAGATGGTGGCCTGGGTAGACAGTCAGGCAGAAATCTAGAATGAGTGGTAATCCATGACTTTCTTTCAACTGCAGGTTGTTTTGAAATATGACTAACCACTCCGAATGATAGCACTCAATCATCTCACTTTGATGAGTCTTTATCGCTCTGAAGAATAGCTTTTTAAGATCTCAGAAAATCTAATATTTGGACTGCTAGGCAGCATACCTACAGAAATATTTGTCTGTCAGTGCCTGCTGGTGGACCAGCATACACTTCTATACCATTCCTATTCATATTGCAAACATGAGTTGGGTCAAACTTCTGTTGAGTGTTGCATTTTTATTGTATCGTTCGAAACCACAGTTCACTGCCAGCCACTTGAGGCGCCACTGCAGGCCCGCAAAGCGTCGAGGGTAAATGGCTGTTGAACGAAACCTTTCTACAGATTGGTACACTGGCAAATTTGTGAAATTTGTATCTAGTAGGCCAATGTCGGACAGGATTTTGAGGTTGCCTGGGAACCGTCGCCCCACAATTCCGGGCTCCATGGCTATGGGTTGAACAGGACGATCCGAGTCCATTCCCATCATCAGATATACGCGTACAGGGGGTCGTGGTCGTGATTGCCGGGGCGGAGGTGGTGGTTGGGGTCTGTTGAGTAGGGTAACTCACTGTGAGTCTTGGCAACCCATCCTGGTTCACTCCCGGCGCCGCCACTCACCGGGCGGGTACAACGATCGATGACTGCATGGCACCGAACGCACCGTCTCGAGCCCACGATCATGACGGCGCACGAAATTCAATGATGCCGCGTTTCCCCATCCTCTGCTTCGATGGAATACATAAATTTCGGATTCCGAACTGCGGGTTACCGCATCGGGCGAATCCCACTTCTTGTCTCCGCTGTGTCTTCTTACGCCAACTCGGATTCTGACCTCCAGGTTACCGCCCGGTGTGTTTTCTAACACTAAATCGGATTTCAATCTCAAACAACGCTATGTGCAATACCTGCAACCCAATATGTGAGTGACGATCCATGACCGACATTCCATATTGTGTATTGTAGCAGTCTGGTTTTGCATATCCCCTTGTTAGGGTTGGTCAAAATTACTAAGCAAATGGATTACTTCTGGTAACTCACTGGATTATATTTTTCCGACCCACAAACTTAATTCTTTTGAAACATGTCAGTTTTATGTGAGAGCCGCTAACCACGAAACCTAAAGAAAATTTTTAAATATACTCATAAACTAACTTCTAATATATAACATCGACAACTTACAATCCTAACAAAACCAATAAAAACATTTTGCAAACAGGATCCTGTATGTCAATAGACCGCACAAAATACTAAAATGTTATCGCAAATCTGTTTGTATGCTAAGTTATTGACACTCTGGTCCCTGAATTGTGATCTCTTATCCGTCCCAAACCCCTTGCTTAACAAAGGAAAACAATCTTTGTGACCCTAGCAAAAACTTATAACCTGGTATACCCAACCCCCTTACGCCCCTCTACCCCACCGAGCACTGCAGGCAGGAAAAGAAGACTTTCACAAGTCTCCCCTGTCCTCAACCAATCCAGGATATCTGTCACGTCCCAGCAAGGCTTCCTGAACTTCTCTTTCGTGACAACCCTACCCACAGGGATTTTCGCACCACCACGTTTCACCAAACCCAACAAGTTCAATCAACTCAATCTACTATCATTGAACAAATCCAACTCAACAATGAACCATTCTTCATCTTCGCAGAACACGCCCCATACAATGAACAATACACACCCCGATATTACTACATCTACTCAAGGATTGTCCTGCAGGAATCAAACGCCAGAATAGACCTGAACTATATGTTATGGGTAGTTAGTAACGCCGTCACCATCGCTATTGAACGGATCAAACAAAACATCAACCAAATCAACCACGATAACACTGCCAGCAAGCAACTCATTTTCCAGCAAAATGGGGCTCTGAAACACACCCTCAACATCCCAGTAAAACAAATGTTCGAAATAACTAAGAACCTTGACATAATAAACGAGAAACTCCACTGGCTACAACACCAAACCTCCTCAATGAAGCAGACCCAACAGAATGATTCCAACCAACACAGACCGATCATAGCCCCCCCAGCCCCAGCTGCAAGCCGACTCACCCCATTACACAAAGGCAAGAAATTGAAATATCTGTGCCCCCTGCCCAACCTAATTCAGCAGCGAACACGAATCATAAGCTGTCGCCGCCGCCCAAGATACAGGGACTGAATTCACAACAGTCACCAACAAGCAGAAACAAAAACCTAAAGATGACCCACTGTTTAACCACAAATCACAAAAATCAATGGGGAACTCGTTATCGAGACAAGCAGGGATCCGCTAATCACACCCCCCCCGATGTCAGAACCAAAATCAACTGCAAAATCCAAGATCCTGACTGCCAACTCATCACCAACCAGAAAACGAACAAAGATAACTATATCCTAGAATCAATATTCACAACCGCAGCTACCAAAGTCCTCAAATACAAAATAGAAATCGAAGCCGCCGGCAATAAACTCAAAGTACCCTTTATTGACAGCGGAGTTGATTCCTCGAGGCAGTTACCGGTGCTTTTCGGGTATTATATAGTAGAGGCCCCGAGGGCCATTGTCAAGATTTTCGGGATGCATATTCTGCTCCACTACCAGCACGGCAAGCATGCCTCCCAGACCAAAATAACAGAAACGTTCAGTTCCCCATAGGCCCAGTCAGCGTGCTTCAATTTCGTCCTCTGTTAATAAACACTTACGGGGTGCAATGAGTGTTTCCAGTGCGGCCAGCTCTTTAGATTCTATAAACTCTATAGTTTCTGGATCGACAACAGACGTGGACACAGATTTTGATAACGGCCCATCGAGCTTTGTAGAGAGTTTTGATAGCTATCCTGAGGGCCAAGCAGTGGTGGAATACTCCTCACGTGGGTGGATCAGACTTGACGATCATTCAGAGGAGGACGACGCTGCCCTGTAGATATATGAAGATGACTATGACTATGTGGTTGACTATGATGAGGATGAACCTGGAGATGAGATTCTCCCACCTCCACCACCAATCCTAGCTCCACCCCGACTAACACCAAGTCCCCTCTCTGAATGTAGGCCCTCCCCACTACCACCACCATCTAACCGGTCATTACAAATGCCCCCCTCAGGATGAATACTATTTCAGACTCCCCCAGAATGAAGACATTTTCAGGCTCCCCCAAAATAGGGATCACGGCTCAGAAAAAGAGCAGTGGAGGCTCCTGTAGCCTCCGTTAGGGATCTTGTGGCCTCCCGTAAGAGATCAAGTAGGCCAGTAGAAGAAGCAATTGCTTCTTTCTCTGTCCCGGTGAAAATAACGCAGGTATGTGCCCACTATACTCTTTGATTTGTCTATACTTATCGTACAAGCATGGCAATCGTGATGCAGTTAATCCACCCAAACCGACGATGCAACAGCACCCCCTGAGCGCCGGGCAAGCTTTCGAGAGAGCAATCTTTACATCTCCAAATTCCTCGGTTGGTTCGTTAAGCACCTTACGACATGAGCATGAGCTTTATCGTACACCAGCTGCTTCACAGTCATATCGTACCCCTCCTGCTACCCAATATCATGGTTTCCCATCCGTGCATGGAACACCTGGGCCGGAGTTAGTTGGCAGGTCGTATAGCAAGTTGCCAGAATACAAGCTAATAATTAAACACATCGGAGAGCTTCTCCGGTGTTATACACTGCTTGAGGAACCTTGGCCACAACCTGACTCTCTTATGGTTAATATTCGAAAATTTTAGGCAGAAGCAAGCGATCATTTTAATACCACTTTAAATCTGACTAAAAGTAATAGAACAGGTGTGAATAGGTTTAAAGCCTTCCATAAGGCTCAGGGAGCCCTTGCTTATACGACTAGGTTCAAATCGTATCTTCACGAGTGAGATCACACCTTATTTATGCTGTCAAAGACTATATAGCGAAGTTCATCCTGTATGGGATGAATGAGCTTCTTACAGCTGAGAAATGGGCCACCAAAGTCAATTATCTACTCGAAAAGGACCGTCTCATCAATGACCCTGACAACTATTCGGTAAACATTTCTTGTCTTTGATTAGCATTTTAGAAGGCTCTAACAGCCTTCAGGGAGGCCGTTGATACTTCTGGGCTCCAGAAATCCTGGACGTGATATTTCTGAAGTATTACAAAGGCGACAAGATGCGTGATGCAAAGAATCCTGATTTCTTCGATGGTATTTCTCCGGCATTCATATGCCTGGTCTGTATCGGAATCTAGTTTGTTCTCTGATGTTGGACGACTGGAGATTACGTAGAAGGTGTGCACTTCAACCCAAGGCAGAATATGGATATCATGTTTAAAGCGTCTCCAACCCTGTGAAAGGCTCCTGCTGACTTGTCAATGTCAAGGAACGTATTCTAGGATGATGAATATATGGAAGAAGAGAAGTGTACAAAACTAAGTGGGCACTCTAGAAGTGATACGAGAAACGATTGAAGAGAAGGTCAACATCGCTATGTAACTACACATGGTGCTGAACGTACTAATAACATTACTATATATTTTGAGGAAGTACGAGGGCCCAGGGAGTTGATATCGAAGCTGGGGCAGAAGGAAGATGATGAGGCATTGGCAGTAGATATCATGGCGTGGAGGGCTGCAAAAGCCCATCGCAAAGCTCAGGGAGACAGAGCTACGGTCGAGCATAGCAACGTGGACAACATTGGTGTGTCACTATGGCTAGGTGTAAGGAACCATGGGCGAGGCATAAGCTGAGGGGTCGAGGGACATGGTTAGGTTCCCCGAGGGAAGGGCCAGGCCTCGCGCGAGGGCGAGGGATGATGCAGTGATGTACCCAAGGGTAGGGACAGAGGTCTGTACGCGGACAGAGGAGAGGACAGCGACGAAGGTCTGTACGAGGACAGAGGTAAGTGTCCGTACGAGGACAGAGGTAAGTGTCCGTACGAGGACGGAGATAACGGCGGTCGGCATGTTAACCGGACAGAACGAGGTGAGGAATAGAGCGGCGGCGAAGATCATAACAGCGGGCGCGCCGGGCATAAGGGACAGCAGACGTAACGGGGACTGAGAGTAAAAGTAATGTATTGAAGCGAGGAAAATCCCCAAAGTAATAACCCACAGTAGAATACAAGATGTTGCGTAAGGAAAGAGAAAAGAAGACAACAGAAGACACAAGCAACTCTATATAGTAAGAAGATGACAACCAATTACTAATCCCACGGAACCTTCCAGACTTCCTAATAACTCATACGTTGAATATAGCCGTATGGTTCGTAACACTAGGTGATAGGGTAGAGGGGCTAAGTGAGGCAGTAGATATTATACCAATGCCTTCTGAAGCCTAACCAAGGGCATAGGAGGAATAAATGGTAGGAATTCCTTTCGTGGATATGGATAAATAAATACATTGTCTCTACGCTCCATCAGAAATTTTGTATGCTAATATATTACTATGTGTTTGGGTTTGGGTTACTAAATCCCACTGCGCCTTGTTAGAGTCTTTTCCGAGGTTCTCCTGGGATGTCAGGAGAGCAGCTGGGTGCTCAGGAGAGAATGAGAGGGCTCCCTATATGTCAGGAGGGTGTGAGAGGGGTTGAATTTTTTTTTAATGGCTCAGGAGAGCATTGGACCGCTCGCTTATCTTTCGGGAGCGTATGAGTTGGGTTGAATAATTTTCTTAATAGCTCAGTAGAGTATAGGAGGGCTTGACACGACCTCGGCATTGAATGGGAAGGGGTGAATAGTTTTTTTATTGGCCCAGGACAGTTTAATACACCTTTCTGATCCCTAGGGAGGGTTTAGGAAAGGGTAAACAGTTTTCCTACTAGCTCAGGAGATTGTGAGGAGTGTGTTTCTGTGAATACGTATATGTGATTATCTTACTATAGGATCACTGCCGGTATGGCATAGGGACAGGGGATAAGAATCGTCCTCCAGAGAGCATCAGAGATGTCACTCGTTCTCGGGGTGGTTTGCTGAGGCTTTCAAAAATCTGTATCTGCTATCATCAGACACTAGTACAAATCTCGTATAGCATCCCGATAACCCCCAAAGCGTTCGGGAGAACCTCCCGAACCATTGACAAGCCTTCGGATCACTAGTCGGGTGCTCAAACCATTACAGAGAATTAAAGTTTAGCGGGTATCTCTGGAGATCTTCCATATCTCCCGTACCTTCGGTCAAGTTGGTACCGTTTGCTGATTGAGTAAATATTACTTGTTAAAAACATTCTTATAAATACCGGAGTAATATCAATAAATCCAAAGTAAGAAAAGGTTCCCAATTGAATCCGAAAGCTTTTGTAGTATTGCCAATTTCATTAGCCGTTATTCCCATTCAAATCTTCACCCCCTTATAGTTCGCAAAACTCAAACAGAGTTTACCCTCTACTGAAAAATTTGGCCACGAATGTTTTTATTAATTCAATTATTCCCCGACGTATGATTCAATAAAAAAAAAAAACAAGAGTGTATATTCCGTAAACATTTCAGCAGATTGAAGCCGCAAATATATATTAACAACAGAAACCAAAAGTGATTTAATGAACCTGAATATGTATTATAATACTAAATACGCAAATTTCAAATATGGAATATGTATTATGCATAGTAGTGAATCGGAAATAAAGAAATACGTATTATTTACATAAATAAATCACAATCTATAAGTAAGAGAAGTTGAATTAATTTAAAGAGTCAGGGAAATAATCCTACGTAATATGTATTATTTCAAATTTATAAAACTACTTAATATGTATTATTTCACGAATTGATTCATTTAATTCAATCAAATTCAATATAGACACATATTTGAATCAATCAGTCAAGTATAAAATGAAATTTTATTTAGAAACAATATAAAAACCCAATAAGAAAAAACAAAACCTACGTAAATACAAAAAATAGCTAACTAATACAAAATACCCAAGATTGAAATACGAAATACGAAATATGAAATAGAATATTAAAACCAATTTACAAGGTCCCAAGTCTCTCCATGAATTCCGGTGGAAAAGAAATCTCCTCCAAAGTATTAACTTGCTCCTGTAATCTCTGCACCTGCTCACTCATAGTATCCAATTTCTCCTGCAACTCAATCTTCTCCAACACCAGCCTTTTTTTCTCCAGGTCAAACTCCTGAACCTTTGACCTCAAAGTGGAATTAATCAAGTCTCTAACACCTGATGCTGGAATATTATCAGTCTACAATAAATCTCAATTGGAAGTGAAATACATACCACCACTAAACATAGCTTCCATCAGAACCTTATCATCAATGGTGCTACTACTCACTTGATTTTGTCTTTTAACAACTGACGTAGGTCCCACTGTTTTGGGTATGGGTTTGGGTGTTTGGAGTTTGACCTGTTTATTCTATTTAATGTGAGTCAAATTATTAAAAGAGCAGTAAAGTGTAATACCTACAGCAACACCAATTTCACCATCACCCTCCTTTTCATCAACTCTCTGTCTTTTACCCAACCCAAGTGATGTCTTTGATGGATTTGGTGAACATATTTATTTAGGGTGGACATTGTGCTCACCAGCACCCAACTGATTCAGTGGCTTGGGTTTTTTCAACTCAACTGTTGGGTTTGGCTTAGGGGTTCTGCTGTTGGCTTTTGGTGTTTTGCCATTTATGGGATTGAAAGAGCTTTTTTGCAGATTGGGTGGAGGTGTTTTGGTAACAACAACACCCTCACTATCTGAACCAGATGTGCTGGATTTGTATTGGTTCTTGTTCCACTAGAGTTAGAGTTAGCAAATTTGAATTTGAAATACGGGATTTGAAATACGTATTACCTTGCTCACTTCAGCATATATTTCACCAGTACTAAGAAACACCCTCAAGTCATACACTTCCTAAATTTTCCAAATAATCCCCATTACTAAAACAGTTAGGATTATCAACAAAGGAGTTCAGCAAGCTGTGGGGTTCATGTATGCATTTTGGCCAAAATGATTGCATTGGGAGAGGAATTGAAGGGGTGGGGTTCTGATGACTATGCAGTCAGTGGTTACAGGGATTTCATTTTGGGTGTTTTTATGTCATATTGTATTAAGGTTTAAATTTTTCTTGGTTATTATATTTGTATTTGAGTATAATAAATTCGTATTTCAATTTCACTTTTAATTATTTCGGAAATTCCCTCCATTTTATTACCATTGAAATAAAGGCTGTATATATTATTTGTATTCAAATTTCTAAATAAAATCATATTCATACTTATATATTTGCTGCAATAATCGCATTATTACGTATTCATATATTTGAATATTATTTTGATTTATTTTTAACCGCAATCTAGTATTTGTAATACTCATGTCTGAATGGTTTCTATTTTATTAATTTCAAATCCCTATCAATAAAAATAGTAATATTAATTCGGGGTATCCTACGATACCTTTTTATAGTTGCTAAACATAACTAATTCGAATAATGTATTTCGAATATTTCATGATTTCATTTACTCATTTCCGTATATTTGAAATACGAAATATTGCATTCAGTATTACTCTGAATACATATTAATAATAACAGTCGCAATCGTAACTGTCGTACAATAGTTTCCAACAGGCCAAACTACTCCAATCAATTCGGGCCGATATGAAGCACTACTGTCCGATGCAACCCCGATATTAGTACACTCGAGAGGAAATGCCAATTGTTTGATTGTATATTTATAATGGTTTTGGGGCCCTCCCGACTGCTCAAGCGATTCATAAAAATAAAATGATTGTTCTCACGCCTCCGGATATTTTTGAATTGGGAACTTTGAAGCCTGCTTCATGCCTGACTTACTGATTCTAATATATCGAGGCCTGTTTCTCCCCAACCATAAACATTCCCGCCATACCGTCCTATAGTATTCACAATATCCTAACGAGACTACAAAGACGTAACTCAAGTGACGTTCTCTACTGCATTCACAGTACAGGGAACTACATTTTCAGAACTGGTTTATCCAACTCCATTTTCCTATACTTAATCCTAAATACAATAATTGATTTAATACCTAAAGTAACGAAAATACAATATAGGTATGATATCAAATTCCCCACGATATCCTTTAGGACTTGCGATAGTTCCACAAATCCTCCTCTCCCCCCTCTTCGTAATTATTCACTATAGACAATTCCAACTCCAATTCTTCTTCCTCTTTCTCCTCTTCTGTATCAATCCCGCAAAACTTTGCACTAATCATTTCGTACTGATTGCTCTCGGAACCAGCAAGAACTCCTGTAACACTGTTGAGTTTTCTCCGGGAAATTCGGAATTTGACGGGATCCGCAGCCAGAGCTTCATCGTCCTTGCCCAAACACTCCCCCGGTATCATCTGAATCGTTATACCCTATTTTTTATGTATCTATTATGGTTACCATTTAGATTATACGACATGTCCACCCCCGACCCAACTGTATGGGCTGCACCCAATGATGTAGAAGGATTCAGGCAGATGTATGAGGCTGACTCTACTGAATTATTCAACAACATCGCCACCCTCGTCCAGCACGTCGGCTTCCAAAGGGACACCCTTCATACACAACTTACCGCCGCCAATGAAACTATTGACAACCTCGAGGGGCAGATAAACCGGCTCAACCTCGACCTCAATATCGCCCGTGCTTCCTCCGCCCCTACCGTCGCTGTCCCCGTTGCCGCTGCTCCCCCACCTGCTCCTGTCCCCACCTTCAGGTCTGAAAAGTTTCCAGACCCTGAAAAATTCGATGGCACCCGCACCAAGCTCCCCAGATTCATCACCCAACTTCGGATGAAACTTGAAGTCAACCACGATCGGTTCCGAAACGAGGCAGCAAAGGTTATTTATGCCGTCAGTCACTTGGAAGGAAGGGCCCTTGACCAGGTCATTCCACTCATTAATGCTAACCCTGCTGCCCCCTTTTCGTCCATCACTGCCTTCGTTGCCCACCTGGAAGCCTCGTTTGGAGACCCAGATCCCCAGAATACCGCCCGTCCCCAACTCGTCGCCCTGAAGCAAGGGAAAGGGGACTTCGCCAACTATTACTCGCAGTTCCTCCATATTGTGGCCTACCTAGACTACAATGAAGGAGCCAAGATCGGTGCCCTGACCGAAGGACCGTCGGAAGACCTGAAGGACGCCATAACATACCAGGCAGATAGGCCTAACACCATAGAGGCATATGCCACCATGTTAATGACAATTGACAACCAGGTTCAGGGGCATAAAGCTGAACAACGGGCCATTCGGAATACAATGGGACAATTCACCGCCCCCGCTGCTGTCGCACACCCATCTCATACCGCTGGAGGCCTCGCCCCAATGGACCTCTCCGCTCTCCAAAGCCACCCCACTCAACGTCCTGCCATCGAACAACGATACACTTTTATCAATGGACAACGCAAAACCTCTGCCGCCGAAAAACAATGGCGAAGGTACAACAATCTCTGTATGTACTGCGCCAACTCCGGTCATGTCTTTGCCAACTGCCCCTCTGCCAATCGCCCGCGCGGTAACCAACCGGTTATGAGAGGCGCCCTCCTCGCACCCAGCCATACGGCCGTCGACCCCGCTGCTCCACCGGTCGCTAGTCCCGCCTCCTCTGGGTCGGGTTTTCAGTAGTCCCGGGCTCGATTAATGGCCCCTGCCCGGGACCTTCCAATGTTTCTCCTTTGTCTGCGTTTTCTATCTCTGGCTTCTCGGTATCGTCTGTGGAGGATTAATTGAATGGGGATCGTTTTGTTGCTTCTTGTAAAATTATACACAATAAAATACCCATTCAAACTCACGCATTGATTGATACCGGTTGGTCCGGATTCGCATTCATTGATGAAACATTCACGCGCCATAACAACTTCCCATTTCTCCCCCTTAAATCACCCCGCACTCTTGAAGTCATCGACGGACGGCCCATATCTTCCGGACAAATTACCCACCTCTGCTACCTACCGCTATCAATTGACTCCCACCATGAAACTATCCCCTTCTTTGTCACCAAGCTCGGCTCATACCCACTCGTCTTCGGAATCCCCTGGCTCCAATTGCATGACGTCACATTACGGTTTAAGGACAACAGTATACTGTTCGACTCCGAACACTGCAGACGCAAGTGCAACTCTTCCGCGATACCCGTTCCCATTAGAGGGGTTGCACCACCGCCCCGTTTCCACTTCATCAGTTCAGCTGCTCTTTGTCGCTTTGCTCGAATGGACAAACTCCAAATCTTTAGTACAACTATTGAGGAAATAGATCAAACTATGGGCGAGGCCCCTAAGGAAGACTGGAGAATCCGAGTCCCAACCCAATATAAGAGGTTTTATGAAATGATGGATGATAAATTCGCTAATGAGATGCCGCCTCCCCGCCCCTACGATCATAAGATACCGCTTAAGGAAGGGAAAGAGCCCCCTTTTGGACCACTTTATGGTATGTCCCGTGAGGAACTCATTGTGCTTAAACGATACATACAGGACAACCCCCAGAAGGGCTTCATTCAGGCCAGCTCTTCGCCTGCCGGTGCCTCTGTCCTATTTGTTAAAAAGGGCGATGGAACACTCCGCCTCTGTGTCGATTATCGTGGCCTCAACGAACTCACTGTCAAAAACCGCTACCCGCTGCCACTCATCCGGGAAACTCTCGACCGCCTTTCCAAAGCCAAGTGGTACACCAAACTTCACCTTCGCCAAGGGTACAACCAGATCCGAATGGCTGAGGGTGAAGAATGGAAAACAGCCTTCCGAACGCGTTACGGGCATTTCGAATATACGGTGATGCCCTTCGGCCTTACCAATGCACCAGCCACCTTTCAACATTTCATTAATGATTGCGTCCACGACTACCTCGATATGTTCTGCACAGCCTACCTCGACGATATTCTTATTTACAGCGACACCTTCGAGGAACATCAAATACACGTCGAAAAGGTCCTGGAAGCCCTATGAAGAAATGGAGTACTGTTGAAAACGGAGAAATGCGAATTTCATACACAAAGCACCACTTATCTCGGCCTTATTATCGAACCCAATGGTATTAAAATGGACCCGAGAAAAGTGGAGACAGTGAAGAATTGGACCGTCACCAAAACAGTTAAGGATGTGCAAGCATTTCTAAGTTTTGCTAACTTTTACCGCCGATTTATACGTGGATTCTCGGAAGTGGTTTCTCCCCTTACCAGACTGACGTGTAAGGATATATCATTTGGATGGACACCCGAAGCCCAAACCGCCTTCAACGCCCTGAAAGAAGCCTTCACCACGGCTCCCATTCTTACTCATTTTGACCCCGAGAAAGAAATCACCGTGGAAACTGACGCATCTGACTATGTCTCTGCCGGCGTACTCTCCCAATACAATGACACTTCTACCCTTCGACCTGTCGCATACTTCTCAAAAAAACACTCCCCCGCCGAATGCAACTACGAGATTTACGACAAGGAACTACTGGCAATTATTCGGTCTTTTGAGGAATGGCGACCGGAACTTGAAGGAGCTGCACACCCAATCGCCGTCATATCCGATCATAAAAATCTCGAATACTTTATGAGTACCAAACAACTCAACCGGAGACAAGCACGGTGGGCAGAATATCTGTCACAGTTTAATTTTGTCATTAAGTACTGACCAGGGTAACAAGGAGGGAAACCGGACGCGTTGACAAGAAGATCAGGAGATCTCCCTGGAGAGGGGGATGAAAGACAATTGCATCAGAGTCAAGTGGTATTAAAGAAGGAGAACCTTGATGTAAAGCTAAGTTTGTTGGCGGGTTCTTTCTCAAACGAGCCTGCTGAAAAGAACGCCTCACTGCATGGACTGTTCGATGAAGGATATAGCGCTGACCCATGTCCACAAAAGATACTGGATATGTGGAACAAAGATGAACGACAATCAAAGGACATATCACTCGCCGAATGCACCGAGGTTGAAGGCCGATTACTTTACCGAGGCAGCATATATGTCCCCGATTACAACCCTCTTAAGCTCCGAATCCTCCAACTTTATCATGACGCTGCCTCTGCTGGACATCCGGGACGCGAAAAAACATTCGAACACATCAGTCGAGACTACTACTGGCCCCTTATGCGGAATTATATTGCCCGCTACGTTCGGAACCGCCACACCTGTCAACGAAGCAAGCCCAATACCCACGGAAAACTCGGCGTACTTCGACCTTTACCGATTCCCGAACAACCATGGCAGGAGGTATCAATGGACTTCGTTACCGGACTATCGGAGAGTGAAGGGTACGATGCAATTATGGTAGTTGTTGACCGGTTAACGAAGATGCGACATCTCCTCCCCTGTAATACAACTATCAACTCCGAAGACGTCGCCCAACTATACCTGCGAAACATATGGAAGCTCCACGGGCTACCCACACACGTCACCTCCCACCGTGATACCCAATTTACAGCCAAGTTTTGGAAGGCTCTTTGTAAACACCTCGACATCGAAGCAAGGATGTCTACCGCCTTCCACCCGGAGACCGACGGCCAAACCGAAGGCTGAATGCTGTGATGGAGCAATATCTACGTGGGTATGTTTCTTACCAACAGGACGATTGGGTAAAATGGCTTCCTATGGCAGAATTCTCCGCCAACAACCAGATCTCCGCATCCACTAAAGCTACACCACTCTTCGCGAACTATGGATTCCACCCCCGTTTCACAGTGACGATTAAATCGCTCGACAGAACCCCACCGAGTCTCAATGCTAAAGACTTCACCTCGAAGATGAAAGAACTTCATGAGTACCTACGTTCCAACATCCGCACGGCGCAAGATCAGTAAGAGCAGGCCGTCAACACCAAATGAACGCCGGCTCCACGGTACGATATCGGCGATATGGTGTTTGTTTCAGCAAAAAACATCCGAACCATGCGTAACTCCCGGAAGCTGGACTGGAAGAAACTGGGACCGTTCCCCATTAAAGAAATTATATCGCGATATGCGTATCGAGTTGACCTGCCTAGGAGTATGAAAATGCACCCCGTCTTCCATGTATCATTGCTAGACCCCGCTGCAAACGATCCTGTACTGGGGTAAATTCAACCACCACCCCCACATATTATCGTTGAGCAGGAGGGGGAGTATGCAGTTGAGGAAGTCTTGGACTCGCAAGAATTACGGAATACTGGCCTGCAATATTTTGTTAAATGGACAGGCTATACCGACCCTACCTGGGAACCCGTCACATACCACGACAATACCGCCGCCGTCGATATCTTCCATACACATTACCCTGACAAACCTGGACCGTTGGAAGGCAAGATTAAGGTTAAGGCTCGCAGGAGCTCGCGCTTGAAGGGAGGGGCTACTTTCATGTATCGATTAGTGGAGGAACGGGGTTACGAAGAGTTGGCTTAGTCAGAAAGGTTCTATTGGGTTCTATCGGGTTCTGTTGATTGTTAATGTATGAGTCATGTTGGATTTGTCATCGCTGGGATTTCGTTGAGTATATTAAAGGGGGTTGTTTGTACTTCTCGTTCTTTTTCTTCTTCTTTCTTTACGCAACGTCTTCTGTATCTACGCCGTTTACTGCTATACAATATCACCATTCTCTTCTTTCTTTAAAGAAGACCACCGCCTCGCTTCCTCCGTGTCCCGTCGAACCTTACCAACGCTAGAGTCCCGTAGTACCCCTATTGCGAGTTCCCATACCGCCCCCTATTACACTCTTCGTACCCTGCGGAATACTCGCCACCCACCCCCTTGAGAGATTCCCAGCCAGACTGCCTGTATTTGGTCTGTTTATTTATTGATTTGATATTGAATTAGGAATAGTTTTGGTCGTCTATTTCAGCATCAACTTGTTCATCAATTTGGGCATCAAATTGTATCGATCTGGACTTCAAATTGGGCATCTCTTTGGGTTTTCATTTCAGCGTTAATTAGTAGTCTGTGGTATTGTCTCAAGGGGACGAATAGCGAGGATTCCATAAAGTACGAAGGAGACAGTAGAGGTTGGCCTGGGAACCTGCGATAGGGGTTCTGAAGGACTTTAGCGTTAGTAAGGGTCAACGGGATAAGGGAAGCAGCAGCATGGTGGGCTTCATGACAAAGGAATATGAAGTGATATTATATAGTAATCGACAGTGTAGGTACAGAAGACGTTGCATATCAAAAGAAAGAAGAGAAAGAGGACAGAGGCGAGGACGAACCCTCCCAATATACCCAAGGAAATCCCAGCGATAACAAATCCAAACTCATACCTTTGAAATCAACAGAACCCGATAGAGCTCAATAGAACTTTCCGACTAATCCAACTACTCGTAACCCAGTGTATTAACTAATCGATCTATGAAAGTAGCCCCTCCCTTCAAGCGCGAACTCCTGCGAGCCTTAACCCTAACTTTTTCTCCCAACGGTCCAGGTTTGTCGGGGTAACGTGGGTGGAAAATATCAACAGCGGCGGTATTGTAGTAGTGTGGTGCGGGTTCCCAGGTGGAGTAGGTGTAGCCTGTCTATTTAACAAAGTATTGCAGGCTGTTATTTTTTGTTTCCCGTGAGTCCAGGATTTCTTCGACTGTGTACTCCTCGTCCTGTTCAATGATGATAGGTGAGGGTGTTGGTTGAATTTGCCCGGGGATGGGATCATTTGCAGTGGGATCTAGCAGCGATACATGGAAGACGGGATGCATTTTCATGCTCCTAGTGTAACGGGGACTATGGGCGTAGGAACTATGAAGCCAAGGAATACAACCGAGGCGAAGACGTAGACGTAGGAGGTTCGTGGACTATGGACTATGGGGCCGAGGTATGCTACCAAGGCGGGAACGTGGACTATGGACTATGGGTGGTCGTACCTGGTCTAGTATACCGGGTAAACCCTATGACGTAGCGCGAACCAAATAGTATTCGTAACTGTAAAGTACAGAGGTTGCATAAAGAGAAAAGAGAAAGAAAGAGAAACAAAGAATCACGAGACAACGCCCCCCTTATATATCCATACCCTATCCCAATGCTGACTCATACCCTCACATAACAGAAACAGAAAGAACATAATAGAAACCCGCTTCGCTAAACTCAACCACACTGCATAACCCTTCTTCTTCGTACCGCAACACCTCGCATAACCAAACCAAATGGCTGCCGTTACAGACCACTCCCCCCTCTAAGGCCTATCTCCTGGTAGGCTTAGGCTTCCGTGGATATTGTTCGTGAAATCGTTTGACAATATCGGGCGAATGTTCGACATCCGACAATGGCTGCCACGAAGCTTCGTCATAACCGGCATACTTAACCAAGTATTCAAATCTTCCCCGACGATCCCTGGAATCCAAAATATCCTCGACTTCCCACTCCTCCTGTCCTTCAACTTCAACCGGCGGTGGTGGTAACTGTTGTTGTCCTGGTAAAGGATCGTTTGCTGCAGACGACAATAAAGAGACATGAAATACGGGATGAACTTTCATAGAACGAGGAAGTTCCAACTCATAGGCATAAGGACTAACGATCCGTTTCACGACATACGGTCCAATGCGTTTCCAATCGAGTTTCTTCGATGGTCGTTTGGTGAGGACATGGCTGGTTGATAAGAAAACTTTATCCCCCACACGATAGTGAGGTGCTGGAGTCCGACGTATATTGGCGGACTCTTCTTGAATCCTTTGCGCTCGAAATAATTCATCCTTTAAAAAATCCAATATATCCTTCATCTCCCTTGCAATACTATTGGCCTGATCCTCCGCTGTCGTTCTACCATGTTCCAAAGGACCAAAAGTCATTCTTGGATTCCTCCCTGAGTTGGCGTAAAATGGAGAGATTCTCGTCGTTTCAGAAGCATGGTTATTTGTTGCAAACTCGGCCATTGGCAACCATCGAACCCAGTCGTCCTGTTGATAAGAAACATAACTTCGAAGGTATTGTTCCATCACAGCATTGATTCTTTCCGTTTGTCCATCCGTCTGGGGGTGAAACGCTGTAGAGAACTTTGGCGATATTTCCAAACGATCGCAAAGGGACCTCCAGAATTCCGCAACAAATTGTGTTCCTCGATCAGATACCATAGTTTCAGGGAGTCCATGTAGTTTCCAAACACTATCGATATATAGCCTCGCTACTTCCCTCGAGTCTGCCTCCTTAGTCGTTGGTATTAGATGTCGCATTTTAGTTAGTCTATCTACCACAACTAGAATCGCATTATACCCATTGCTTTCGGGGAGATCGGTGACAAAATCCATTGACACATCCGTCCACGGTCCCTCAGGTATTGGCATAGGACGGAGTACTCCATAAGGCGCATTACGTGGTGCCTTACTACGGGCACACACATTGCAATTCCTAACATACTGGTCGACATACTTTCGCATTTGTGGCCAGTAGTATTCTCGATTCAAAAGCTCTAGGGTCTTTGCTCTACCAGGATGTCCTGCTGATGGTTTATCATGGTGTTCTTTGAGAAGTCTTAGCCGAAGGTCGTTGACATCTGGTACATAGAGTGCGCCACGGTAAAGTAGCCGACCGTTGTTATCTTCCGTACATTCGGCAAGCGAGATCTTATTCGAGTGACGGACGCCATTCCGAAGCATCGCGAGTACTTTGTTCGGGAAACTGTCAACTTGGTAAGCATTTAAAAACAACTCTTCTACAGTGGACATTCCTTCAGCGGATTCATTTGAAAAAGAACCCGCGAACAAACTTAGCTTTAAATCCAAATTTTTTCGCTTCAAAACCACCTGGCTTTGATGCGTCAACCGTTCATCCCCCTCCTTAGGTAGGTCACCCGACCTCCTAGTCAATGCATCCGGCTTTACCCCTTGTTTCCCTGGTCTAAATTGAATGACGAAATCGAAACGTGAAAGAAATTCCGACCAACGGGCTTGTCGACGGTTTAATAACTTTGTTGACATAAAATATTCAAGGTTCCGATGGTCGCTCAGAACTTCAATTGGGAATTGTGCCCCCTCTAAATGATGTCGCCATTCCTCAAAACATCGTACGATCGCCAGGAGTTCTTTGTCATAGATCTCATAGTTACATTCCGCAGGGGAATGTTTCTTAGAGAAGAAAGCGACTGGATGTAAAATTCCTTTGTCGTCACGTTGGGACAGAATTCCAGCAGAAACATAGTCGGACGCATCGGTTTCTACCACAATTTTCCGATCCGGATCAAAGTGCATTAATATGGGTGCCGTTGTAAACATCCTTTTCAATATCTGGAATGCTTCCTCCCTTTCATCCGTCCATTCAAATTTAACATTTTTCTTGGTTAGAGCTGTAAGCGGAGCAACAATTTTTGAATACCCTAAAATAAAACGCCGATAGAAATTCGCAAATCCCAGAAATACTTGAATGTCATGGAGATTCCTTGGTGTGGACCATTCCAAAACATCGATAACTTTCTTTGGATCCATCCTATTCCCATCCGGGGTGAGAATAAGGCCGAGATACTTCGTTTCCTGGACTATAAATTCACATTTCTCAGGCTTAAGGTGAACATGACTCTCATCAAGTACCTTCAAAACCTTTCGAATGTGCTCTTTGTGTTCTGCCAGGGTTTCCGAGTAGATAAGAATGTCATCTAGGTATGCTGTCACAAATTGGTCGAGGTATGGTCGTAAAATATCATTGATCCAGTGTTGGAACGTAGCAGGGGCATTAGCTAATCCAAATGGCATTACAGTATACTCGAAATGTCCATAACGAGTCCTAAATGCCGTTTTCCATTCGTCTCCCTCCGCTACCCTGATCTGATTGTATCCCCAACGTAGATCCAACTTAGTATAGTACTGTGCCTTCGAAAGTTTAGCCAAAGTTTCCTTTAACAGTGGTAACGGGTACCGATTTTTGATCGTGATCGCATTGAGGCCTCGGTAATCCACACATAGTCGAAGAGTCCCATCATTTTTCTTTACGAACAGTATGGGTGCTCCCGCCGGTGATTCACTAGCCCTGATAAATCCCTTTGGTAGATTTTCATCAAGATATTCCCGTAGCGCTTTTAATTCGATCTGGGACAGGCCGTATATTGGTCCATATGGAGGTCGTTTACCTTCTTCTAATACAATCTCAATATCATGGGACGGTCGATGTGGCGGCAGGACAGAAGCATCATATTCTTGGAACATGTGGAGACGATGGTGGAACTCCTTTGGTACTAGTTGCTTGACGTCGACGGTGGATTTCTCAACTGCTGAAGCGACAACAGTATGATGTTCCGGTAAAGGGATCGATATTCCATGGACAGTGACTGTCGTTCCACTGAGTGAACAGTGTTGACAACAGCTTCGAGAGTCAAAAACAAGTAAATTTTCCTTCGGCCGAATCGTAACATCGTGATGTCGCATCCAAGGTATTCCCATCACAATTGGATAGTGTCCTAGCTTCGTTACAAAACATGATGCAGTTTCCCGATGACCATGGATATCCAGCGATACATTGACAATATGGGTGATCTTTCCTGATTCAATAGGCCTCCCATCCATAACATCTACCTGACGAGGTACTTTAAGAGGGGTCATTGCAAGATTGTTGTTGCGTGCGAAAGATTCATCGATAAAAGCATATCCTGATGCTCCAGTATCAATGAGAGCGTAGGTGGGGATGAAAGAGTCAGGATTCTGAGAGACCGAACAGGTAACAACAAGAGAGTCTTCGGACATCTTATCCTCAGACACAGCAGCAGCAGGGAGAACTGAAACAGGTGGCGGGGCTGGCCCCTTTGGTTTGCCATTTTTTACCAAAGGGGCTGACCTTTTAACGCCGGCTTTTGAGACACTTGTTCAATTGGCTTTTCTCGCCAATTGTTAATGGTACGGGGATCTTGAGAACGAGGGGTCAGGTAACGAGGCTTGGTGGGGGCATGGCGGCGTTGGGGTTTGACTGTGGTAGCGGAGACGGAGATACGAGAGCGGAGATCGGCAATGGTAGCGTTGGCTTGGACTTCCCAGGCCTTCGCAACGGAGGTGATGTGAAGAATTTCATCCTCAGCATCAGCGAGATTCTCATCAGCAATGGCGAGACTTTCCTGGTGTAGTGCCAGACGGAACCGAAGCTCTTCTTCTTCGGCCTTCGATTCCTCCAACTCAATCTTCAAAGCAACGATAACCTCGTCGCGACCTCGGATGATCTCAGTAAAATCTTCCTGGTTATCGCACAAGGTTTGCCAAAAATCGGCAGCCTTTTCGTTCGCTGCTTCTAGTTCTGTGGTGAGGCTAATAATAACCTCTTCCTGGGCCGTATCGATAACGGGTTCTGGTGGCGTGGGGGTGTCGAGAGGCTTGGTGAGAGCCTCCAAACACTCAGCAATAAGACCATGAGCTTCGGTAAGTTCTTCACCGAAGTCTATATCTGCTGGGAGGGGACCATAGGTGATCAGAAATTCTGAAAGACGCTGTAGCAGCGTATCCTGGGTAGTGTCGGACATTGTCGCGACTAGAGCTAAGCAAGGTGGTGTTGTATCGGTTGGCTGTAGAAGGATGCAACCTAAGTGTAACGGGGACTATGGGCGTAGGAACTATGAAGCCAAGGAATACAACCGAGGCGAAGACGTAGACGTAGGAGGTTCGTGGACTATGGACTATGGGGCCGAGGTATGCTACCAAGGCGGGAACGTGGACTATGGACTATGGGTGGTCGTACCTGGTCTAGTATACCGGGTAAACCCTATGACGTAGCGCGAACCAAATAGTATTCGTAACTGTAAAGTACAGAGGTTGCATAAAGAGAAAAGAGAAAGAAAGAGAAACAAAGAATCACGAGACAACGCCCCCCTTATATATCCATACCCTATCCCAATGCTGACTCATACCCTCACATAACAGAAACAGAAAGAACATAATAGAAACCCGCTTCGCTAAACTCAACCACACTGCATAACCCTTCTTCTTCGTACCGCAACACCTCGCATAACCAAACCACATGGCTGCCGTTACACCTAGGCAGGTCGATTCAGTATGCATATAACGATATGATTTCCTTGATGGGGAACGGTCTCAGCTTCTTCCAGTCTAACTTTCGAGAGTCACGGGTGGTTCGGATGTTTTTTGCTGAAACAAACACCATGTCGCCAATATCGTAACGTGGAGCCGGCGTTCGTTTGGTATGAACGGCCTGCTCTTTTTGATCTTGTACTGTGCGGATATTGGAAGGTAGGTATTCGTGGAGCTCTTTTATCTTCGAAGTGAAGTTCTTAGCATTGTTGCTCGTTGGGGTCCTGTCAAGCGGTTTAATCGTCACTGTCAACCGGAGGTGGAAGCCACAGTTCCCAAAGAATGGTATGGCTTTGGTGGATGCAGAAACCTGATTGTTGGCGGAGAATTCTGCCATAGGGAGCCATTTTACCCAATCGTCCTGTTGATAAGAGACCTATCCGCGTAGATATTGTTCCATTACAGCGTTCAGTCTTTCAGTTTGGGCGTCGCTCTCCGGTTGGAAGGTGGTGGACATTCTTGCTTCGGTGCCGATATATTTACAGAGAGCCTTCCAGAATTTGGCTGTCAATTGCGTGTCATGCTCGGAGGCGACATATGTGGCTAGCCCGTAGAGTTTCCATATATTTCGCAGTTATAACTCGGCAATGTCCTTCGAGTTGACGGTGGTGTTGGAGGGTTGAAAATGTCGCCTCTTTGTTAATCGGTCAACAATTACCATGATTGCGTCGTAACCTTCGCTCTCCGGTAGGCCATTAATGAAGTCCATTGATACCTCTTGCCATCGTTGTTCGGGGATTGGTAAAGGTCGAAGTACGCGGAGTTTTCCATAAGTGTTGGGTTTACTTCGTTGACAGGTGTGGCAGTTCCAAACATAGCGGGCAATATAATTCCGCATAAGGGGCCAGTAGTAGTGTCGACTGATGAGTTCAAATGTTTTTTCGCGCCCAGAGTGTCCGGCGGAGACAGCGTCGTGGTATAGTTTGAGAATCCGGAGTTTAAGAGGGTCGTGATAATGTACATATATACTACCTCGGTAGAGCAATCGGCATTCAACCTCGGTGCATTCGGCGTGTGATATGTCCTTTGATTGTCATTCACTTTTTTTCCGCATGTCCAGTATCTTTTGTTGGAGTGGGTCAGCGTTATATCCTTCGTCAAATAGTGTACTCAGTGAGGCGTTCTTTTCAGCGGGTTCATTTGACAAAGAACCCGCCAACAAATTTAGCTTTGCTTCAAGATTCTCTTTTTTCAATATAAATTGACTCTGGTGTAATTGCATTTTATCCCCCTCTCAAAGGAAATCTCCTGATCTCTTTGTCAATGCATCTGGTTTTCCTCCTTGTTCCCCTAGTCGGTACTTGATGAGAAAATTGAACCGTAAGAGGTATTCCGCCCAGCGTGCTTGTCCCCGGTTGAGTTGTTTAAAATTGATAAAGTATTCGAGGTTCTTATTATCGGATATGACGGCGATTGGGTGTGCAGACCCTTAAGCTCCAGTCGCCATTTTTCAAATGATCGAATGATCGCCAGTAAAACTTTGTCATAAATCTCGTAGTTGTATTCGGCGGGAAAGTACTTTTTTGAGAAGTATGAGACGGGTCAAAGAGTACCATTCCATATTGGGAGAGTCCACGTCAGAGACGTAGTCAGATACATTGGTGTCTACAGTAATTTCCTTCTCGAGGTCGAAATTGATAAAGATGGAGACGGTTGTGAAGGCTCCCTTGAAGGCGTTGAAGGCAGCTTGGGCTTTGGGTGTCCATCCGAACGATATGTCCTTGCGTATCAGTTTGGTAAGGGAGAAGCCAGTTCCGAGAACCCACATATGAATCAGCGGTAAAACTTGGGGAACTCCAGGAAGGCTTGCACATGCTTAACTATTTTGGGAACGGTTCAATTCTTCACTGTATTCACTTTCCTTGGATCCATTTTAATACCATTGGGTTCCATGATGAGCAATAGTAGGTAGTACTTTGTGTGTGAAACTCACATTTCTCTCGTTTCCGTAGTACTCCATTTCTTTGTAGCGCTTCCAAGATTTTTTCGACGTATACCTGATATTCTTCGAGGGTGTCGCTATAGCAAAGAATATCGTCAAGGTAGGCTGTACAGAACATGTCAAGGTAGTCAAGGATGCTGTCATTGATAAAGTGTTGGAAGGTGGCTGGCTCATTGGTAAGGCCGAAGGCATTACTGTGTATTCGAAATGCCTGTAACGTGTACGAAAGGCTGTTTTCCATTCTTTACCCTCAGCCATTCGGATCTTATTTTACCCTTGGCGAAAGTCGAGTTTGGTGTATCACGTGGCTTTGGAAATGCGGTCGAGAGTTTCCCGGATAAGCGGCAGTGGGTAGCAGTTTGTTACGGTAAGTTCATTGAGGCCACGATAATCGACGCAGAGACAGCGTGTTCTACCGGTCTTTTTAATAAATAGGATGGAGGCACCGGTGGGGGAAAAGCTGGGCTGTATGAAGCCTTTTTCCAGGTTATCCTGTATTCATTGCTTGAGCACGATAGGTTCCTCGCGGAACATATCCTAGAGTGGCCCGAACGGGTGTTCTTGTCCTTCCTTGGGCGGTATCTTGTAGTTATAGAGGCGGCATGGTGGCATCTCGTTAGCGAACCTCTAGTCCATCATCTCATCGAACATCTTGTACCGGGTTGGAACTCGGTCTCTCCAGTCTTCCTTGAGGGCCTTGGCCATTACTTGTTCGATTTCCTCTATAGTTGTGCTGAAGATTTGGACTTTGTCCCTTCCAGCAAAGCGGCAGAGGGCAGCTGAACTGACGAGTTGGAAGCGTAACAGTGGTGGAATTCCTTTAATGGGAACCAATCTCGCGGGGAAGTTGCACTTGCGCTTGCACTATTTGGAGTCGAACAGTATGCTATTGTCTATAAACTGTAGTTTGGCATCGTGTAGTTGAAGACAAAGGATCCCGAGTACGAGTGGGTAGGAGCCGAGTTTGGTAATGAAGAAGGGGATAGTTTCGTGGTGGGAGTCAATTGACATTGGCAGGTAGCATATGGGGTGATCTATCTGGAGAATATGGGCCGACCGTCGATGACTTCAAGAGTGCGGGTTGATTTGAGGGGAGAAAGCGGAGGTTCTTATGGCACGCGAATGTTTCATCAATGAATGCAAGCCCGAAGCAACCGGTATCAATCAATGTGTGAGTTTGAATGGATATTTTATTGTTTACAATTCTACAAGCAGCAGCAAAATGATCCCCATGCAATTTTTCCTCCACATACGATACCGAGAAGCCGCAGATAGAGAACACAGACAAAGCAGAAACATTAGGAGGTCCCGGTCAGAGGCCATTCATCAAGTCCGGGACTATTGCAAACCCGACTCGGAGCAGGCCGAACTAGCGATCGGCAGGACAGCAGGGTCGGCGGCAGTATGAGCTGGTGCAAGGAGAGCAACCCTCATGACCGGTTGCTTGCCACATTGGCGATTGGCAGAGGGGCAGTTGGCGAAGAGATGGTCAGGGTTGGCATAGTACATACAGAGATTGTTATCCATTCGCTATTGTTTTTCCGCGGCGGAGGTTTTGAATTGTCCATTGACAAAGGTGTATCGTTGTTCGGTGGCAGAGCGTTGAGTGGGCTAGGTTTGGAGGGCGGAGAGGTCTATTGGGGCGAGGCCTCCGGCGGTATGAGATGGGTGTACGACAGCGGTGGGGGCGGTGAATTGTCCCATCATGACACAGATGGCAGGTTGTTGGATCTTACGGCTCCGAATCCGGTAGTCGATTGTCATTAACATAGTCGCTTATGCCTCTAGAGTATTAGGCCTGTCCATCCGGTATAGCATGACATCCTTCAGATCTTCCGATAGTCCTTCGGCCAAGGCGTCTATCTTGGCTCCTTCGTTGTAGTGTAGGTAGGCGACGATACGGAGGAACAGTAAGTAATAGGTGACGAAGTCACCTTTGCCTTGCTTCAGGGTGAAGAGTTGGCGGCTCGCAGTACGCCGGATATCTGGTGCTCCAAACAAGACTTATAGGTAGGCGACGAAAACGGTGACGGAGGAGAATTCGGCAGGAGAGTTAGCGTTGAAGAGTAGAATGACCTGATCAAGGGCCATTCCTTCCAAGCAGCTTACGGCATAGATAACCTTTGCTGCCTCGTTGCGGAATCGATCGTCGTTGACCTCAAGTTTCATTCGGAGTTGGGTGATGATTTTACCCTAGCGAAATTGTAATATTCCAGAGCAATGATAACCGTAAGTTGAAAGTGTGCTTTTTACCCTGTAGAAGAGATGTGATCAAATACTCAATATATTTTTTATATTAGTAAGAATTTGGTATAAGTATTGCAATACTGTATTTGAGATAATGCATATTATTTTAAATGCGTATTTTGAAAACATGTCAGTAATACACTCCCGTCCAAATTAGGTAACCTTTTTTACTTCAAGTTACCTGTTTGGATTTTATTTATATTTAGAAATTCGCAAAAACAAAATGCATGAAAATTGATGGTTCCAATTGTTTATGAATACTTCTGTATCAATTATACATAAATAGTGTTTTGTTTAAAGTATTTTAATATTACGATGTATTCGATTATTTTGTTAATTTTGAAGTTCATGCATGCGATTGGTAATCGTTGCCCTATAATCGTAATGGTTGCCCTATAATCGTAATGGTTGCCCTATAATGGTAATGGTTGCCCTATAATGGTACTGTTAATATGACATATATATAATCTACATTCTCATCCAAACCCTTACATACTTCTCAATCCTCTCAAAGAAATTCTAACCACCAAATACAATTTCTAATATTTCAGTTCTGCATATTTCACAAAATGGTTTCGAACAAAAAATCAGTTAACCTTTTCCAACAACGGCAAAAACAAGCCAGGATTACCAAACAGATGTTGCCATTATGTTTGGATGACTCTGATGATTCTCTCCCACAAAGCCCAAAAAAACACCAGTTGAAAATAGAAGTTCCAACAGGAAAAAAAGCCAGGAGAAAAATAAACAATTCCACCTCAACTTTGATTGGTAACTTTAGGTCCAATACAATTCAAATTCAGCTTACTGATAATAAACAGGTAACAACAAAGTACCCAATCCAGTATTAACAACAAGTTCAATACCAGTATTCTTGCAGAATTCCGAAGATTTGAAATATGAAATCCCAAATCCCAAATACGATATTTCGCCCACCAATACTGCAATAGTATCTCATGGAATATCAATCCCTTTCTCTGCAAACCTTGTAGCAGATATTCAAGGAGGTAGTTACATATATCAAATTCGAAATAATTCTGTTGTATGATTTACTCATTATTCTTTCAGATCCCAAAGATATTTCAGAATCAACACCAACAATACATATCCCGGTTTCACGTCAATCAGATTCCTCCTACACTTTCAGTCAGACTGATTGTAATACTATTTCAGATGAGGATGAGGAGGAGTATGAGGAGCAGGATAAGGAAGGAGGTACTTACATACATTACATCAAATTCGAAATAATTCTATTCTATGATTGACTGATTATTCATTTCAGATTTCAACGATATTTCAGAATCAACTCCTACAATACATATCCCGGTTTCAATTCAATCAGATTCCTCCTACATTTTCAGTGAAACTGAGGATGAGGAGGAGGAGGAGGAGGAGGAGTATGAGGAACAGTTTGGTGTTGGAACGGTGAATGAAATTTCAGAATTGGAAAAACAGAGAGAAAGTACAGTGGAGAGGGTGGTGGAGTTTTTGGTACAACAACTACACAGTTTCCAAGGCTGTGGTCAAGAAATACATTCGCAACAAGACATCAAAAGTCCCAAGCAGTCAAAAACCGAAATTCTCCCACCATTGGGAGTTACACCCCAATCCCTTGGAGTTGAAATACCATACGTTTTGAACAAGGCATCATTTTATAAAGGCACGGAAAACAATCTTACACCAAATGAATTCAGAACAGTTTTTTGTGGTATCTCAAAAACAACAGGCTCTCCTCCACCCAAAATCTCATTTGCATTGGAACCACCAACAATTCAAAATCGAGAATTGCAAATCCATACTATGTTTGACATTGACAGTGTATTGGCATTACCTAAATCTTTGGCTGTTGCAAAAAGAGGATTAAGGGTCTTTTTCTTTCCTCCCAGACATCTCAACATTCAACAAAACCTTCACATACAACTCTCTGTTACCAACCCAAAAACGAAACGAAATAATACACTTCCAATTCAGAAAATCCCGCATCTCATTCTGGGCAGAATATTTCAATTTACTGAATTGAATATTTTCATTTTCTTCCCCAACCTATACCACCCAGACAAGGACAACAATTTCCTGACAGAAAAAGAATTGCAAAGATTTTATGATTCTGTATTTCTTCCTGCAGTCCATGAATGTTGTCCTCCAGACATACTTCAACATCTTCCCTCCTCAATAGAAAAGGCAAAACTCAATGCATATGCGGCTGGTACAGAGAACAGATCAAGAAAAACGAAAACCTCAGGCGCCACACAGTTGATTACCCACCTCATTGCTCCACAGTACTTGGATGAAATTTGGATCAAAATGATATCAAGATGTAATAATGCGGGATTACATGATTTCGAAAATATGGTTATTCTGCTTGATGGAAAGGATTTGAAATTGATAACCAAGAAGGAGAATCCAAATGATTGTTTCAATTCATTTTTGGATCTCTGGAGTCACAGTTGTGATAACGAATACTTGGATCCCAAGTATACTTGGTTGGATTACGGGAAGGAATATGTGGAAAAGTGTCCTCCTTTCTCAATATTCCCCAACGACATTGAGGGACCAGCAATTCCAGCAACCCCAATCACCTATCTCTGGCGTAAATGTTGCCTTCAAAACTATAACACTCTGATTTCAAAAGTGGATTTTATCAAAGCCAATCAGTTTGTGTTTTACCAGTGGGCATTAAGCAATGACACAGCTAGCATGTCCTTCACACCAACTCAAAAAAGTGTATTTCGAAAAGCGGGATTAGTGTATTCTCAATTTTACACTATTACACATGAGATATTCAATGCAGCGAAGACATATCCATTCCAAAATGACGCATTGGAAGGGTTGGCAGTTGATCCTTATTTGAAATCCTCTTGGTTTGCAGCTGGTGGTGGTTCAAAGTGGGAAACCAATTCAGTACAGAAAGCATATCACACTTCCAAGATGAGATGTCATGAAGCATTGAAATCGGATTGCATGAAGTCCTATGGGATAAGAGAGGAACATCGCGTCACTATGTCCTTATTGTTCAAGATCAGTCAATACCTTTTGGATCAAACACCAGAGATAATTCACAATTCCAATCCCACTTTCGACAGGCCATTCTGGGCTCATCCCACTCCTGAAATATTTGAGTATCTGAAATCAAATATCAACAAATTCGCATTTGGATTTGAGTATACAATGAGCCTCACACCTGCAAGTACAACAGTTTCATGGGAACACACTCGTTTCATGGTGATGTTTTTGAGAATATTGAAATTTTGTTATGGAGGTGGTGATATCAGTAGAGAGGCTGGATTATGGCATGACAAGTGCATTGGTGGCATTTATGGTGATAAGGGCATGGAGGGAATGGGATTTAAAAATTCCATGCAAGAGTTTGGATATCCTTGGCTCCCATCTCAGAAAATTGACTGGGGGAAGTGGAATTTTTCGGTTTTGTATTCTCAGAAAATACTATTCAACAACAACAGCCTTCACCAATCATACAAGAAGAGATGGGGGCAGGTTAAATCCATCACTGATATTCACAATCAATTTACCGCCATACTCGATACAATCAAGAGACATTCAACAAACAAATATTACGTTTATCAAGCTTTGTTACTGTTGTCTACAAATTGTATTATGAATTTCAGACAAGAGGTTTGGTCAAACACATCGGAGGATTTTGAATGTGAGGATATGGAGGATTGTTTATTGGGAAAGGTTGGGATGAGTGTGGAAGGGTTGAGGAAAAGAGTTGTGGAAGGCCTGGAATACCATTATACAGAGTCATCCAACAAATTTCGGTTTTCACCATTACAGAGGGCAGAATACCTCTGGTTCTTCAATGATGGTATTGAAAGAAACAGTTGGGAGAACAAGCCTTTCAGGCTACTTTTCAAACAGATTTACACCTTTTTGGATCGAAATTTCGGGATTTCCAAAGCCAAAGCATGGGCAACAAGACACTGTCACCAATTCCTAGAATATAATTGGGTTTTGCCACATCCAGTTAAAACCAGATTCTATCAAAGAATTTACACCTCAAACCATAGAGCGGGTCCGGAAAGAAGACAAAGAATTTGGTATTCAGTCAGACAAATACCAGTAACTGAGTGGAAGACTTTTGGGAAAGCTTTAGAGGGGTCAGGAAGGAAAGGAGATTATCAAACAGGAGAACCAAAACAACTACCAATGCAGAATTTTCCGATCCCAGTTTTTATCGATTTTGGTACCAAGGATACACTGCAAATTACGGGATTGAAATCTGCAATTCAGAATTACACTATTTTGTGAGTTTTGGGATATTTCACAAATCCGGATATGTAGGTTTACCTTTAACCATTTTGATTTGTGTGAGACTAATACAATTATAGTTGAAATGTTTGGGATTGATAAAATATTTCTGTATTTCATTATGTTAACCAAATTTTATTGTGTTATTTAGCTACCATTCTATCATAATTCCAAATTTATACAAACAAAGAAAGCTGTATTTCATCAATAAAATACTTGATTTGATATTAGTGTATTTTGTATAGAATACGTTCAGCAGATCGAAATGTGTTATTTATCCTGTTTGTATTTTATTGATTCGGAATATTCTTTGGTTTTTCTATAAAGTAATAGTGATTCATATTTGACAAAGTTTGATTTTGTGAATTTATTTTGTCAGAGTTAACAAAACTGAATTTGTTACGTCTTTCAGAATCTAAAAGCACAAACTATTTTTGACATAAATCAATTTCCAATGAATGATCTTGATACATTGTACATATGGGAACATTAACCGGCACAATTGAAACGAGTTGAACTTTTGTCAAATACTGCTAAGTTTTGTATTTACAAGCTTTGGTTTCGAAACCAAACTTTTGTGTGGTTCACAAGTACTTGTATAACCGTATATAAAATATAAAGGTAAGATCGCTTTTGGTAATGATATATATTAGTTGTAACTGGGGCAGACTTTCTATTTATCGCTAGAATTCAATAGAATATATGTAGCCGTACAAGATAGAAATCAGGTACAGATTATTCAAAGATACTATCGCTAGAACTTAATTATCTTTAAGGACTTGACTACCGAGTAAAATACTTGAAACCTCTGAAGAAGACTGAGGAAATCCGATAGCTGAGCGCGAATGGCAACGGGTACTTATACTCCAAAGAACTCCGTTCTCTACTCCTACTTCCTTATTAAGCTCCGGCGATACCTCCTGATGTAAGTGAAACAATACCATCGCTAATTCTTTTCTATACAAGCGTCAGCGAGTGCTTCTGGTTCCGAAGGCAACTACCATTAGTCAAACCCTTTGTAATATCTGCAGCCTTCGTTGTCACAAAACTGGGCCTGTATGAATAAGCTGCCGCTTGTGTGTGAGTTTAATCATTGTTGTAGAAACTTCGTATACTGTAGACTGCTCAGTCATAGTCCTTGCCACTACAGGTGGACTTACAATGCTCAGAGGATGCATAGGATTCCTGAGCACTCAAAACTTCACTCTGACTGGCCTTCTAATTATTGGCGAGGCATAGACTCGTCAGTCGTTATTCCCAGAAATAGATCCTCTTCCTAGGGCTCAGAATTTGGTTACTCTGACAGCTGGTTGCTAACCACACTGCTGGTACTTGAATGTTACTATACAACTGGCTTCTAACAACTACTCTCAGCATGTAACCGGGCTGTGTTTGTACTCATACAACAGACAGTTGAAATGGCTCCGTATCACGGCCCAACCGCCCTCACCTGCCTTGCCATCGGGAAGTCTCCGGAATCGTGTCATTGGTTGAAGGATCGGGATGATATTGGTTATGTTGGATCAGAAAGGAAGGTGTACGGAAGATACAGGAAGTGCTGAACGCTTCGGGTTAGTATTGTGGGAAGAAAGATCGGGCTCGGTTATAGGATTTTACTATGTTTTTATGAGATTTCTTTAGATATGGTTACTGGGGTTAGTCATCAGGTTTCTCTTTGGGGGTTATGTTCGGGGATTCGTCCTTACTCCGTGTACTTCTCTTTCTTCCTTCTTTACGCAAAATCTTTATTCTGTTTGTTAGTAATATACTTTGTTTCGATCGGTATTCAGCCCGATCCTGCGTCCAAGTCCAAGAACTTACCCGAGTCAATTCTAGCCTGGGTACCTAACCCAAAATCCTCCCGAGAACCCCGCCTCTTTAGACTTCGTTACATTACTACTACTTCTCACACAACCGACATGCATCAAATTCCACGCATATGTTACATTTATACCTAGATTCAGCTGACATGATTCTCTAACTTTTTCATCTGACTACTTTGCAGCAGTTTAATAAACAACTCGTGATTTTAGTAGGTATCATTGTTCGGTATCGTTTTGATCAGGAAAAAACTGCATATCTTTTTGGGGCACTTGGGTGCCCGAAATCCCTCAAATTCTCTAGATGCCCCATATATCCCTAGACTTTTACTTGCTTGTATCCTGACCCCGGGCTATACGGAATTGGAGCCAGTGCACCTCTTTGCGAGAAATAACCGTGGCGACAGGATAGGATGCATAGTCATCTTTCGGAGCCTCATTCCGTCTCCTTACTACTATATTGTACCCGGTTAACGGGTTTCGCTAGCAGTGTTTTGCTGGTAGTATTAGATCACTCGGCAAACAGTATATGGGTCACGAGAAGATTTTCAATTGACTGTCACAATATTTCATCTATCTGTCCACCTAACTCGAAATAAATAATCGGTTGTACTCTACCCACTCCCATACTGCTTACCTGCCACCTTGCGTAAAACCGCTCGAAGCCTATCGGACGGCTCTACACCACATTGACTCCCTATATACCTCTGCAGCTGCCTGCTAACCCTCTTACCGATTAGGAGCTTATTTGATGTTGACTTGTTGCATCGTCATA